CTTGAAAGCTAGAACGGATGCCACTGACCCTGAATATTGTGGCCCAGCTTCTATCCTGCCTGCCACAATAAACTGATGGAACGGATGTTCTTTCTGAGATTACAGACTTTCTTGAAATACACGATGCCAAACGAACATACTGGTTTCTTCATCTTCTTCATCTTCCATGGTCCTTCGCCTTTCAGATCAAAGAGACAGACGCGTTAGACAGAGCTTCCAATGTTCCCGATCCCGTGCCAGAGTCTGAGCTTCGGCAGAAGTCAACAGAAGTCTGGAACAGACTTCTTTCTTATGTTTGCACCAGGCTAATCTTGGCCGTCCTCTGGGTCTCCTGCCAGTCTACAGGGCAAGTAGCAGTTGCTTCGCCTTCCTTCCTTCCTTCCTTCTGGAGGCATTCGCAACGCATGCCCAAACCATTGCAGCTGTGACTTCTCAATCTAAATAAGCAAAGGCTGTGCACCAAGGCTGTCCCGGATATCAGTATTCCGGACCATGTCGAGACGTGTAAAGCCAACGACTCTTCTAAGAAAGCTCATTTCATGGTTTGTACGTGGGTTCGAAGTTTTTCAGTGATGGTCCACGACTCATGACCGTAGGTAAGCGTGGGAATAAAGATCGACTTGAATATCGAGAGCTTAGTTTTCAGACGGAGCTCTGCGTTAGTCGCAGTGGATCGGGCTACTTCACGCAGAACACCACTGCTACTCCAATTCGCCGGTTAATCTCTTCCTCAAACTTTCCATCACTTGTAAACACGATTACGAGGTTCTTGAACTTTTCCACCTGCTCCGCTGTCCCTCAGTTTAACTTATGCGAGCAATAAGCTCGAAAACTAAAACACTAAGCTTTCGATTTAGATATGTTCACACGCATGCCAAACACGTCGCACTCAGCTGTAAACCTTTCTATAGAGCGCTGTACATCAGTTTCAAAAGGTGCTAACAAATCAAGATAGTCTACAGACCTCAAAATTCTCGTCTCGATTTTTCGTCAATGTGTGCTTTTGGTTTAAGCTTCAACAATCATATCCTTTGCGACAGGGGTATCGGGTATCCGTAAGTTGGGTTTCGGTCGAACGCTGATCTGATCAGTGCGCAGATAAGTCGACTGATCAGATTTTGCCGACATTTCGTATCAGCGCCAGTCTGAGAGATTTTCGGTTATTTGCTTGTCGATCGTTTGAGAACTGCGGCGTTTAATGGAACAGAGTTGAACTATATTCGGTTTTCAGCATCGCGTTTTACCTTTCTGTCAGAGGGTGGTGGTTCCATTTTCGAAAAGTGATGCTCCGTTTCAATCAGATTTTCTGCCATGTTTTATTCGGTGTGTGTTGTGACTCATTGCCACCCTTAGCGCATGACGTTCGCCGTTTGTGCGACCAACTGCTCCGCTGGCAAGTAATAGCTGTTGCGAAGTCGCAACTTGTGTATTTTTGGAGCCAGGCCATCTGCCCAAAGTTCAGTCCCGTTCCGTTCTAATTTCTCGGGGAAGGACATGTTGATAGGATCATTTTAAAGTCAAGAGTGAAACGTTCTTGTGTCGGACTATCTCTAATCACTCTGAAATGGTACACCCTTCCAGGATCAGCTTTCGATATTCCTGCCAGTAGAATCATTTTCGTTCAGGAGATTTTCACTCTCAATAAACTTAGCAGTTATATATAAATGGGTATTGTAAGAAACGGATATGCAGACATGATCAGAACTATTTTGCTGATCATTATTCTTTATCTGTTTTCGCCAACATCGAAATTGTTTGCTTGCATCGCTGACCAGTGGTGTGTCAATAAGCTCATAGTTCCTTCACTGTGGATTTATAGCTGTGGTGGCATGATTAACTGCTCTTGGGTACTTATGGGTCGTGTGATCATGCAGCTGTTTCAGGGCACTGGAACTGCTAACGTTGGCTTGGTCGAAATCTCGTACTTTGTAATATTCGCATAGTTATCTTCGTTTACATCAATAGTGGTCCTTGCTGTAGCGGTGACGATTGAATTCGGAGATCCTCTTTCCGGAATACGTCTTATTTGAATCCATTAGCATTGATTCTTTAGAATTTTCAAGATATGAAAGTAGGACACCAGTAGGAAATTTTTCGGGAGTAAATTTTCGTACGCCACTGAAAGGAAGAGTCGTTGTCTTGTAGATATTGCATTCGCCTTTAATTTATTAGCTGATTGACAGCTTAAGTTCAAAATCGAGAGTTTATGTGATTTCTGCTGTATAATGTTTCAATATCGCCCATTAGTATTAACCATTTGGCCATTACTGTAAGCGAGATTGTCAGCATTGCACGAACGAAAACGAAACGTGTACCTTGCTGTTTCGATGAGACAATTCTTAGCACTGGAGTGAAGATAGGAGTTTTTCACGGAGACCTCTAAAGGCCTACAACTTCTTTTTTCTTTGTTTATTGTTCGAGTTTGGTTTCGAAGACCCGTTTCCCAATTCGAAAGCCACAGAAACTGAATGATGAGTCTGAATATCGCCGAACAGTCTTGGGCGTTCGCAGTTTCGCCCCTCTGGTGCAGCGACGGCTACATAGAGTCTTGTTCGTCGTCTGTGAAGTGTCCACTATTTGCTGAACAAGCTCATTGTTATATAGTTTATATTATGCATGTGGTTGTTTCTGAAAGTGTCATGCTGTTTCCGCGCCAGTCGTGGTTCATGACCAGATCGAATAAGTTGTCATGTCCTTATGAAACTTGCTCTTCTTCAGATTCGGACTATCATGCATCGCTACATTTCTTAAACATTCTAACGCCCAAACCCTTGAACTAAACCGTTCGTTGTATCGGTTTATTAGTTTTTATTTTTATGTTGTTTATTTATCATAGTCTACGCATCGTTTCTTATTTCTTATTGTCCTATTCTAAAGGAAAAATTCTCGGGTAATTATTTTAATACGTTAATTCGTTTGTTGGTTTGTCTGAATTTGCATTCTGTGTTAGCTGTTTGCTGCATTAGCGCTTTTAATTGATCCAAGTCAATGTTACTATTAGTCCAACGGGGTAGCAGATGGTGAACATGCCGAGAAAGAAAGTGAACTCGCAGAAGAGAAGTCACACGAGCAATCTGTTGATGAAAGTAACCGTTCAGACACAAGAACTTCTGCCAAAGACGGGGACGAAGCGGTGGCTGCCGAGAGCTCTGACTCTGAGGTAAAGTTAAATATTTTAAAAGGTGAGTTACTTTCGAATTTTTCTCAGTTCTTAACCAGTTGTACGGGTCTTGAATTAAGTGATTCACGGTTTAAGCCATAGTATTGGCAGGAAATAAATTACTGACGTTTCTTAATTCTCGTCGACACGTTTGTATACTAAAAAATTTATCAGGACGGTTACGCAGTATTACTTAACAATGACGCCCTTTCTTCGGCGGATATCCATCTTCCCTTACTTGGAGGTGAATATGTGTCGTTTGAATGACGCTGTTCCCATTCATATATTCATTTTCAGTGCTCGTTATTTCTTTTCGGTAGTGGATGCAGCCGCTACAGGAGGCCTTTCCAGCGATCATGGTTCGCCACCAAAGGAGAAGCTATGTCGTCTCGTCTGGACTCTTGAACGCGAAAGTGCCAGTACTTGCTTACAACTAATATAGCTGGTCCCACGCGTTGACTATGGAAAGTTTTCCATGTGGCTTTGCCGACAGATTGCGCCTGGGAAATGTCTCCTTTAGCATGATTATCACTAGTACCATACCATTTGTAATCTGTCATTCTTCAGAAGGAGCTGCTGAAAATTGTGGGGTATCTCGAACTGTTGTGGCTTCAGAGTAATGTCTTACTCCGTCACACCGCTGGTCGTTTCACAAAGCATTTCAGTTACTTGTACTTGTATTTGTAATTACATGCTCTCAATCAGTATCAAGCAGTGATTACGGTGAGCGGCGATGTTCTTTGTTTTCCGTCAGTGAAACCTTCCACAATTATCCTTTATCTGAATGATTAAGCACGTTCATGCTGCGTTTCGATACGAATACCAATGCGAGAATCAAATTCTCCAAATGGTTGTTTATGAATATTATTATGAATATGACATTTCTTCCATACGTACACGTTTGATAATCATTAACGACTATTTTGAGAATTTGATTCGCGCTGGGTGTCTTACCGAAACGCAGCATGAAATTGTCCATTGCCTACTCACAAGTGACCATTGGAAGCATATAGCAAGACAGCCTAGAAGCATCAGAAAATGCACTTCTGTTTGATCAGGCCCCGTTAGTCTTAGCAGTGGTGCCGTATATTACTGCCAAAAAAAATTGGAGACGATTCCAGGGCTTGGTATTGCATCGTTATAGGATGTCGGTCCAGATGTCAGTGGAAAATTCTCAA